TACGGTGATTCCAGTCTTTTTCTCAGATGCAGGTTTAAAATCACACAAAATACAAAGATTTGCACCAAGAGCTGTTGCTAACCGTAGATGGTTTCGAGAAAAGTTTGAAACCATTGAATGGCAGAAAAATCTGGTGCTTACCTATTGAGTGTGTGTTTTTTTTATAGTACTAATGCTTTTTATGAAAATACGATACATTTCCAATTCCAGGTCAAATAACACTACAGTCTATGGGTGGAGTTCTCTCACCAGTGCTTTTCTCACCTTTTAGTTCTGTTAGGCACCAACAGGTAAATACGTGGCAACTTGTTCAGACTTTTTCAATTTTCAGTTCAGATGAATAACAGGTGTCACCGATCCAGCCTTCAAAAAGGCTAAAAGTACATCTTATTACCAGCTGTTGAAACAAGCTCTGCGCTCTCCCACCGGCCATTAGATAAGTAGGAATTTCTCTTTTGGGCAGTCCAGCTGTCACTTTGCTTTTATACAAGCTGTCAGATCCAATTTGCTTCTGTCAGTGCTCTTTCTTTGAGGAACTTCCATGGTCCAGTTTTTCGCAGTCACTCTCTGGATCACTATCTGTTTCCATGGGCCCACACTGAGAGGGGGGGAGGAGGGGAGAAGCGGTGCCCCAGGGGGGGCTTCAAACTACAAAGTAGACGGCTATCAGTAATTTCACCCGCCTCTTCAGCCTGGTTCTATTTGTAGCTCCAATCCTTGTGGCTTAAAGCACTTTGATCCTGATTTGACCTTATTCTCTTCTATGATTCAAGCTTACCGTTTTTGGTCTCCAGCACCTGTTTCTCCTCCCTAAATATCCCCTGTTGCTCACTTTCCTCAAAGCTGTGTTTCTACAATGACGTCCTTTCTAAAATGCTACTTATTAGCACCAACAGATCTACAATTATGCAATATTTATCAGACATTCCTGTCCTTTTTCTTCATGTATCATCATTGCTTTTTCTCTTGCGGTTCAGGTTTTACTTTTTTTTTATAAACCAGTCCAGATGTGGATCACCAGGATATGAGTGTAAAAATTATTTTAATCACAACGCAGTCAGTAAAAACTGTAAAGTTTTTTTTCTCTTGTCTTCCAGTGGGAAAACCCTCTAGTGGCAGAACAAAGTATTACAAAAACAATAAATTTGATAGAGACGTCTCTTAAAGAAACTCGTTTTCCTTCTGTCTACAGTTAGAGAATTTATCTCCTTGTGCAAAAATACTTGAATAATTCACATGATAGTGAAATTGTAATATATGTAATGTAAACATGATCTAACTGCTTTAGTTTAAAACGTAACGACAGCAGCATCCTAATGATATTAATATAATACATTGATTATTGCACTGATAGACGGCTTACAGTTTCTATTTATTGTTGATTACTAATTTAACAATGTAGCTAGGCAAACAGCTACATTCACACAATTTAATAAAAAATTAAAAGCAATTTTCAAGAGAGAAATTACACATTTGACCGCTCTGAAGTTTAAAAAGCTGAAATGAGCTGGTTATTTTAGCTATCTGCTGATATTTGCATAACTTCTGTCAGAGTGATGATATCTAAAAAGACCTGAATTTATCTTACAAGTGAACAGAATATGAGCCTTCATTCAGCCTGCTGACTGGCAGTGATCAGCAGCTGGTAGAAAAAGGAGAGTGGGTTCTGCTCAGTCCAACACTTTCTCTATCATTTCTGATAAGAACAGGAGAACATATTAACAGAGCTTTATAAACCTTTCTAATCTTGAGACTAGGAACCATAATACGTTTTCTCCAACACATTTTCACAAAATCGATACCTGACGAACATTTTTAACCAGACAAGTCCATCTGAAAATCCAAATTGCACAGCATTTTATCAAAAACAGCTTTGAAGTATATTTTCACAATGTCGTTACATCGGTTTGAGTTGAACGTAAATCTTGCATCGCTGCAGAAACGACACACATTTCTCTCAACAGAGACGAGTTTGTGTGTTCTGGCTAACACGTGGCCCCGTTTCCAGCAGTTCTCCTTCGGCTTCATTATCTAAACCCATTAGGTTGTCGGGTGGAAAACATGAGCATGCGGTAATGACATTTCGAAAGGACAACAGAAGAAATCAGGTTTATGAAAGGAGCACACAGCTCATGCAGAATAATGGGACAACTGGAGGCAGCAAAGCATTCATGCCTCAGTTGCTTATATGGATTTGGATGCTGATTATGAGCATGATGACCTCAATTTGACTCTTTTTGAGTTCTGCACACTCAGCCCTAGCCAACATATTACAGTAAAGCAATACCACTAAAAAAAGACAATATTTCTGTAAGTCAGATCTGTGCTACTGGGGATTTATGTGTAATTTTTTTATCCCCTTACAGTCAAAGGTAACAACATCTCTGAGTCTGGACGGGGTTACAGGGACTGGGATTCTAGTAAAACATGGTTTGGAGTTCTTGCCCACAAACAGAGAGAACTTAAAATGTAAGTTGGCCTACCTAAACTATTCCAGGAGCATATCGAAAACTCCTTGAGGAAACCAGTAAATGATCCAGAAAAACATCTAAAGCACTGCAGGGCTCATCCGCCACGGATAAGGCCAGCGTTCATGACTTCATGACTCACTTGCTGTAACTGATGACGCATGACCGACGCTTTTATGGCCTATCGCTCATGAATGCATGGGTTAACCAGCAGTAAATCCACCACTGAACGGTTCAGGCAACACAAAATAAAGGTTTTGTGGTGGCCTATTCAAAGTTGGAAGCATGAATCTGATTGAGATGTGGAAGCATGATATTAAACTGGCTGTTCATTCTCGAAAACAAGCCAGTGTTGCTGCACTAAAACAATTTTGCATTCAGGAATGGGCCAAACTTCCTCCACAGCAAGGTGAAAGACTTATTTATTGGTTTTACTCTGATGCCTGATGGGAGTTTTGGCCATGAAAGACAACCTGTTATTAACTGCAGGAGGCGTTTGCTTTCTCACACAAGTCATGGTTGGTTTGGACAGCTTTTTAAATAAACATAAATCATAATTTGAAAACTGCATTCAGTGTTTTACTCTGGTTCTCTGTTTAATCTTTGGTTTAATCATCTGAAACATTTGAGACAAAAAAAAAAAAATAGCAGAAAACTGTAACACCTCCTTCACACCAATATCTGTACTATGTTGCCATCTATATCCTGATGTGATAATGCGGTTTCAAAACCCAGCTGCTCATCACTGCTGGTATATAAAACACAGCCGAGATAACAACAGAGATCCTGTCATTAACAGCCCAGCAGCTGACCATGAAAACACGTGACATCACCTCCTTCCTCCTCTGCTGCCGCCGCTGAGTCCCAGCTGTTCATGTTGCTGTGGCCGGTTCGTGATTAAATTTTGCTGCTGCACGTACAGGAATAGAAGAGCCAAACCCCCACACACACCCTTTTTTTTGTTGTTGTGCATAAACAAACTGGGGCAAATCATGGTGGGAAGAGAGACAGAGAGAGAGAAAGACAGAGAGAGAGGGAGAGAGGTAGTGCATCCTTCCCAGTTAATCCCAAAGAAAACCTACAGTTGTAAGTGTCCAGATCTGGGGATAAAAACATGTAGATGTTCAATCATCCAGGGACAATCACGTGCAAGAATAGTTAAGGAAAGCTTCTGTGACCTGCTGCAGCAGCGCTCAGTAATGTGATTGTCCTCTTTTGTAATAATTCAGCTGTGACTGCTGAATAAACAACGCTGTTTGAACCTGAGAGACGCAGAACAAGATTAGAAGTGATTCGATTTACAGCCGATCCGCAGCTGGACATTAATGACCATGTCAGCAACAGGGCCATGCACCGGAACAGCTGACGGAAACGGGGTGCGGTGACGGCATTCACACCCCCTGTATGTTGTTTTACATTTAGTCAAGCCTTAAACTCCATGACTCTTCAGCACAGGTTTGAAAAGTGCTTATATGAGAATTGGGAGAAAGAGGACGAAGGGTTCCCCAAAAAATCTTTACAAATAAAAACTTGAAAAGGGTGGAAAGCATTTTTACTCATCCCGGTTGAATCAGTACTATGTAGTACTATGCTATTGGTTTTCAATTGGATTTAGTTCTGGACTTTGTCTGGGCTTTGGCTGCATGTCTTGACAAGAGATTCTCTCAACTGTGAGAATTCAGGTTTTTTAAAAAAAATAAAAGAAACACACAAACACAAGGACACTATGACATAAAATCCCAGTGAAACACATTGAAGAGTTTGGTTGTAGCATCACAAAGTGCAAACAGCTCGGGTTTTTGCTTTTGTAAGACACAGCGTTAGCTGCTGAACGAACACATGAAGATCACCAATCACAGACTGCAGAGTCAGGACTTTAAATAGATCACTCTCACCTTCACGCTGACAGGCCGTGGCAGACTGATAGCAAAGTGAAATGGAAGGTTGGATGATTTGGGAGACAAACCCCAAGAGTTTCACTCTAAAGAAATGAGAGGAAGGCATCCATCACTTGGAAAACTCGCGTCATTATCTGAGAAATGATGGATTAAACAGTAACTACCTCTGATTTTTGTGAAGATTTGATTCAGCAGGTTAGCTTTTGGAGCCCATCTTCAATTACAGGGTCGTATCGAGACAGAAGAAAGTTTGCAATAACTGTTATTTTCCCATATTTCGTTATCCGTGATCTTCCCTCTTGAAGCACCCAGCGGGAACACAGCACATGTTTAACAAACACAGTATGACGGTGAGCTAACACCTGAAAAACATGGATGACACACCCAGTGGCTTAAGCCAGACATCTTTAACACCTTACCATTACAGCTGATGCTCATTCAGGCTCTGGTCAGCTCCCGTTGTTTCTCCTCGGCTTGATGTTGTTTTTTTTTTTCTTTTTACCAGCCTGTGAAATTTAACAGCATATCAAAGGTGAGCAAACTTAAAAATTATGGGGAAAAAAAGAAATAGTCTGTGGGTGAAACTTTACCCACCTGAGCTGCAGGTCTGATGAAAGCGGTCTGATGATTTTCTCAAACAGGAAAATGGTTGGGAAGTCCCTGATTGCTGGTGTGGTGGTCCTTCTGGTGGCCACCGTGAGCCTGTTCTTGGGGGTCTTCATGGGCTTAGGGAGGAAAAACACACCTCCCCCCTCAGACTACTTCTACTCAAAGGCCGCCGTGGCTGCTGATGCAGGAAAGTGCTCAGAAGTGGGGAGGTAAGAGCAAAGCCCGAGCACATATGTTGAGCTCCGCGTGTGTGTGCTTCTCATCCGGTAAGTGCATTCTTGTGTTTCCAGGGACATTTTGAAGAGAAATGGCTCAGCTGTGGACGCTTCCATCGCCGCCCTGCTATGTGTTGGCCTTTTGAATGCTCACAGCATGGGCATCGGGGGAGGGCTCTACTTTATAATATATAATGCTTCCACAGGTGAGTGCATATCGCAGGTCAAGAGGTCACAAATGAAGAAAAAGTATGAGCGCTTTCCCATCACTCCCTGCTCTCTGCCGAACAGGGATGGTGGAAACAATAGATGCGAGGGAGACAGCGCCCATGAACGCCACTGAAGACATGTTTGGCAACAACACCAAACTCTCTCGCACAGGTACCGACTAGCTGTGTGCTCACAGAGTGTTTTCCTGCGACAGATTGCATTTTTGCTTCTGTCTATCCTCTTTAATCTCCAACAGCAAGAGACGGATTTAGGGAGGACATATTCTAGTCTTAAAGTTATCCATCCATCCAGCTTCTGAGGAGTACTCTGTCTTCTGCAACATTCCTGTCACATCTCTTGCTCTATTTATAATAGGATCGTTAAAATAAAACAGCAGAAGGTGTTAAATATATGCAAGCAACAGTCCCTTGTGTGCTTTTACTTTAATCAACAATGTTTGACAAAGACACGGCTTGTTTTTGCATGACAGGTGGATTATCCATAGCGATCCCAGGAGAGATCAGAGGTTATGAGATGGCACACAAACGGCATGGCAGGCTTCCCTGGAAGGAGCTGTTTGAGCCCAGCATCGCTCTGGCCCGTGACGGTTTCCCCATCGGGAAGGCTCTGGCTCACGCCATCTTTAAGAGCAAAGAATCCATTCAAGGAGACGCCAACATGTGGTGAGGGGGAACAGAAAGAGTTGGCTTTGACATTGTCTTAATAAGAAAAAGGAACAACTGCTGCATTGTGCTGTTAACGCGAATGCTGGGTTCATGCTGGGTTCATGCTGTTAGAGAAGGAGTTGATTAGTTTTAAACATTGGTTCAAAAGCCCAGTTAGAGAAGATAGTAGTAGGAGCCTCATCATTGTTCACCAAACGCAAATTTGAATTATGCAACAATCTGGTCAGAACCTTTTCCAACAGGAAAAATAAGATGGTGAAATGATTTTGTATAACAATGTAGGCTACTAGAAAAACTAGAGAGTAAATTTGAACATTTACATTAGCCTTTTAGCTGCTAAATGATTAGCTCAAGTTAGCTGTGCTCCCACTTGCACCAAAGAATTGCTCATAAAGTCAATAGAGACGCTTAACTATACTGTGCAACTTGAATTTTCACACCCAAACTGTTTGTCAATAAAAGTCTAATTACTATGAAGTTGTTGAGTTGAGCTACACAGTGCCACGGTAGTCAGCGCTCTCACCTCAAATAGTACAAAGTCCTGGTTTCCATCTCAGGTGAGGTGAACCTCCCAGTGTGACGTTTACTTGTTCTGTCTCTGCAGAGCACGTTTTCTACCTAAGCATTTGTAACTTCTCACTGGGTATCCAGCTTCCTCCCACGGCTCCAAAACATGCATGTTAGGTTAGCTAGACAAGTCACCAGTCCACACTGACTTCATTCAAAGTCTGGATGCTGAAAATCATTAGCTAAGATGTTAGCTAACAGTTAGCTAGTTAGAAAATAGTTAGCATTTGATAGTTTAATCGAGCAAATGTAATATGTGGTGTGAAGCAAAGTCTTCAACCCAACCCACTACCCTTTACAGCATCATTTTCTCATCTTGCCATTACGTGTTTCATTGTGTCAAATAGGTTCAGTGAAGTCGTTTCAAGTTTAGTTTAAAATGGCGGTCGGTCAGTAATGATGAGGCTCTTTCTACTCTACAAACCAGGTCACAACGTTTTGAACTAATGTGTTTGTTTGGAATGATCCACCAGACTGAACCCAGCATTTGAGATGAAGTAATAATAACCCAGCAGTATTTTATGGGTAATAATCTGCATACACAGGAGCTTTTTCTCTACTGAGGCTTTGTGAGCTCAGCTGTTCTACATTTTCAGTCATGTCTTGCTGTCTCTAATTTTCTCTGTCTTCAGACACTTGTAACGTCTTTATTTTGTTGCTTTTTTTTTGTCATTTTCACAGCGAGGTGTTCTGTGATTCTGAAAAGAGAATCCTGAAAGAAAATGATATTGTTAAATTCCCAAAGCTGGCTGAGACGTATCAGAGGATAGCGGACGAGGGACCTGATGTGTTTTATAACGGGACCATGGCACAAAGCATTGTCGAGGACATCCAGGCGGCAGGTGCTGTGCTCAGTGTGTTTACTTTTAAAGTGAAAGGAAGAAGGAATTAATCAAAACAGACATAGAGAAGCCCTGATGAAGTTGCACAAAGTCTTAAAAATAGACCTTTTATTTGAGTAGAATTAATTACAGATAGGAGGCAGAGTCTCATTTTGTCTTCAGGGCAGCACTTGGTCTTTTCCTATAAGATTTCACAAAGTTGATGTACACAGAAAGAGCCATCTTTCATTTTATTGCAAACATTGTCCGGTGGTCTAACTTCTCTCTTATGTCTTCCTCTGCACATTTTCTAAAGGTTTCTGGTGTGGAGATTAAGACACCAGCAGAAGGTGGCTCATTTTATGTCTGTTGAACCATTTCTCTGTTGATTTGGTCATGTTTTAGTAAACTTCCCAATTTTGACTAATTTCCATGTAGAACCCACCTTTATTTTTATTCAAAACGTGAAGAGAAACAGATATACAACGTTACAGACCTTCAACAGTTTCCATGAAGCAGTTTTCCACATATTCCTCTTTGGTTTTATGCTAAGTCCATCTTGAGGAGTTTGTTTGAGGACAGAGTTAACACTATCTGATTGGCAGTTCTGTAGCATGTCATGGCTGTTGCAAAGATTTGTTGATCCCAACATATTAACTCTTTGTTGCAATTCTCTAAACAGCAAACTTTACTTCTCCTACTATCTTAATTTATACCCCCAAAAAACAGAAGGCGAAGGTTTGCTAACTGCGTGTCCTCAGGAACTTTGAACTTAAATTTTATTTCTAAGAGATGACAAAATGTCCTAATATGAGATTTTAAAAAAATAAATAATAAATGTACTCAGAAAAAAGGTGGAATTTTCAACATTATTCTAAAGCAAACAATTTGCACAACACATACATCAAGAAGTAGAGTAAAAACAACTTGAAGTGCATCCTCAGCGCTTTCATCTGTGTTCCAGGTGGCATCATCACGCTCGATGACCTGCTGGAGTACCAGCCTGTGCTGAACGAGAACCCTCTGAAGCTGAATGTCGGGGAATACACCATCCACGTTCCAGACGCCCCCTCCAGCGGGCCCGTGCTGGCGCTCATTCTCAACATAGTGGATGGTGAGCAGGCCGGCTGAGTGCTTGGGCAACCATGCGGAAGAAAAGATGTCAGGTTTCCCTAGGTCATCCCGGGAATGTTTCCCCGCCTGCTGTGGAGGCAGAAAACACTTGCGCTTGCCAGATAGAAATGCACCCTCACCGCTCCATCTGTTATAGCAGGGAAGCTGCGTTCCCAACAACAAAGAGATAGCCTTGAAGTATTAATGTTGCATAAGGGAAAACTAGTACATACCTATAGATTCGCAACAATTGCAAGTTATGAAATAATTTCAGTAAAATGTGAATATTTAATGATATTTATGTAGAATGAAAAGCTAGGATAACACATTAAAAATTGTGTTTGTTGCTAGGAAATGTTCACAAATTGATAACTAGACTGATTTTCTACTTATTCCTCAAAATGAAAGTGATTCAATCTGGTTTAGAAAATCTATTCATCTTACACTTAAACTTAAAATGCATTTTCCACTGAGGGAAAAAGTTAGGACACCCCGACCTTCCAATAACTAGTGTTGACACCTTTGGATGTAACGCCTTCAGTTTACATCCATCTTGTAGCCATCTACAAGGAGATCCTTGTAGCCATCTCCTTGTAGATGGCTACAAGGAGACTCTCCTTGTAGCCATCTACCAGCCTTTGACTTTTGAAAGTCAAAGGCTGAGCTGAGAGAGGTTTGCGGGGTTTCTTGCATGTTCAGATTTTACGTTACTCTCAGAAACATCAGGGTTTAAACTTTGACTAGATAAAGAGCTTTCAAATCCTTTGTTTTTATCCAATTCTTGGTGGGTTTACCGATGGGTTTTGGGCGTCGTGTCTCCAAACCAAGACACTTTACAATTAGTGTTAGGACCTTTTCCTGGAATGTTGGGTTTAGTTTATACCAAATATGTCCTCTGTCCTGGTGTCCAACTATTTTTTCTTTAAACTCATTTGTCCAAGAAAAAACAACAACAAAAGTCCTGGTCCTAGTCTATGTTCTCTCCTGCAAGCTGCAGTCTGACCTTTATGTCTTTCTTGGAGAGCAAAAGTTTTCTCTTCACGCATCTCCCATAAAACTTAAACATCTAAAGTTTCTACTTTGATCAAATTGGCACCCACTCGCATATGAACGAGAGTCGTCTGTAGATTCTGTAATAACATTTTAGTATTTTTTTGAGACTTCCTTTAGCATTTTGTGGTCTGCTTTTATGGTGAAGTTTCTTTGTCAAAATATGTTAGAAAACATATGGTTTGATATGATTTTCTATGTATATATTTCATTTTCCCATAACTGCATAACTGTATGTTTCTGATTTTGCAGGGTACAACTTCACGGACACGAGTGTCTCAACAGCCGAGAAAAAAACTCTGACCTACCATCGCATCGTCGAGGCTTTTCGCTTCGCCTACGCCAAGAGAAGCAGACTGGGCGACCCGCGGTACCTCAACATTACTGACGTAAGCTCGCCCAATTCATGCTTTTCATTCACGCCTTTCCAATTTAACTGCAACATCTGCAGGCACAAGTGTTTGAGAGCCTCTCATCATCACTTCCATCTATTTTCCTCTCTAACACTGACTTGTTTTTTTTCTCAGCTGATAAACAACATGACCTCAGACTACTTTGCTGACGGCATACGGAGTAAAATTACGGATGACACAACACACCCGGATAACTACTATGAGCCTGAGTATTTTGTTCCAGAAAATCACGGCACAGCTCACCTGTCCGTCATAGCCGAGGACGGGAGTGCTGTCGCTGCCACCAGCACCATTAATCTATAGTGAGAGTCCTGAATGTTCAGCTTTTTAAGACTCTTGATTTAAATAGATAGATAAACAAAACCTTTCTAAGAGTTGCTTTTGCTTCGCAGCTTTGGGTCTAAAGTCATGTCTCGGTCCACGGGAATCATTTTCAACGATGAAATGGATGACTTCAGCTCTCCGTACATGACCAATGGATTTGGGATTCCGCCGTCGCCCAACAACTTCATACAGCCAGGTTTTACCAAATCAACCAATCACATTACGACAAACCTCAATGTGTTTTCTGGGCATTGTGTGTGACATACCAACAGAGCAGTGGATGATTGTGAGCTAGAAGAGAAAACAATCTTTTCAAGAAAATTCGAAAAGTCTGGTTTGAATTTGTGTACGGCCCCCTCTACCCTAGCACCCTTAAATCAAATCCAGTGAAAACAAAAGTCGCCTGATCTCAAACGGAGTCCACCTGTGTGAAATGCAATATCACTGTAAATACAACGGTTCTGTGGCAGCAACAGAGAAAACAATAGAGAGTCAACAGATTCACATAGCCTCAGGAACACAGCAGCAGGTCAGGGGTGAACTGGTGCAGAATGTGAAGGCACGGTTTGATGATAAAACAATTTCCCAGGCATCCGGAGACATCTAAAAGATGCAGTTTCTGACTTTGAGATCTGCAGTTGGACAAAATCCAAATAAAACACATAAATGCTTGTCGTTGCAACATGACCAAAAATGCCAATTTTGCAAGGCACTGTAGAACCACTTTGTTTCTCTGTTGCAGGTAAAAGACCTCTGTCCTCAATGTGTCCAACAATCATCTTTGACAAAGACAACAGAGTGAAGATGGTCGTAGGAGCATCTGGAGGCACAAAAATCACCACGGCTACTGCTCTAGTGAGTACGACTCAGCCGCTCTCGTCTCCTGTAGATTCCCACTCTGTGTCCTGCAAAACTTATGTAATGTGTTGTGGTGGCAACAGGTCATCCTCAACTCCCTTTTCTTCAACTATGACCTAAAGAAAGCTGTGATGGAGCCGCGAGTTCACAATCAGCTCAACCCCAACATGACGGTGGTGGAGCAGGGCTTCGAAAAGGTGAGCCAGGCGTGGACGCAGCGTGCAAAACGACAGGAAAGAAAGGAAAAGCTAGCAGTTATGATACAAAGTCAAACAACCTTTCGGTAACTTCTATAAGGTAAATCTACATCTGCTGCAAAATGTCATAGCAAGTTTAGCAACACTTTTAAAAAGGCAGAAGCCTAAAATGAACTTTCTCCAAAAGTAAATAGAACTTTATTCGGTGCATTTATGCAGCGCAACAAGTATCATGTATTATATTTAAGCATTTTTACATGGTAAGACTGATGCTTTAGCTTAAGATTCCCTCTTGAAATTTGAACTCCACTCTATGTCAAGAAAGATTTTGGTTGGATTTGCTCTCAACTGATGTTTTTTCTTTTGTACTTTTGCTTTTCTATTGTTTTGGTTTATTAACTTATTATGTTAAGGTATTTTGTAGATACCTATAAACTTTATCCAAATTTTGTCGAAGGATTTAAGAAAATAGTTTGAAGGTAAAAACACCTGAAGTTCACAAGTTTGATGAAATATCAAAATTAAATAAAAAGTATCGGTATCAGTATCGGCGATACTTGCCCTCGTTTTACTTGATATCAGATCGATATCAAAATATGCAGTATCGCACACCTCTAACATATAGCAAATATTCACACGCATATTGTGTGTGATAACAATATGTATGGTATTGACATACCATACATATGTGAATACATATTATATGTGAATACAATAGGGATTCAGAATATGCTTCATTGTTTTCAAAAACATTATTGAAAAAAAATTATTGTTTTCAATAATCCTATGTAATTCATTATTCGGTATCTGTGCAGAGCGTCCTGGAGGGGCTGGAACAAAAGAACCATGTGACCCAAACACTGAGGACTCCAGACTCCGTGGTCCAGGCCGTGGTTCGGCAGGGAGAGCGTCTCTGCGCGGAGTCCGACCCCCGGAAAGGAGGTTATCCAGCTGGATACTGAGCCTGTCCGGTTTACCTCAGTGATCAGTTTCCATATAGACTCTGACAGAAACAGAAAACTTAGGAAACTGCACCGAGGAAGGAAGCTATGTTTACACTACAGAGACGCTGAAACATGGGTACTGACTCAATCCTTCCACCTGTTTTTCGGCAAAACTTCTTACATAAATTATTTTATTTTGTGGTTTAAAGTAAAGTAAGATGTCGTGGCTAGCATAACTCTCGGATGCTGGTCAGGAAAATAAATTTTAGGGATTTAAGCTGACGCCAAAGGTTCCAACTGGATCTATTTTCAGCCGGACAATCACTTATGAAACACCGCAGCTGTATTTCCAACGAACGCCTGATGAAACCATGTCAACTTTTGGTAAGTTGTCAATACGGCGTTTTAACCTGTTTTGTAATGATAATAATAAAAAGTAATTATACTGTAACTTATGACACACTGTCTGGAAAAGAGGACTACAGGTAAAACGCTGCAGCGCTAGCAGGTCTGATAAGTCCAGCGCGAGGAAGTCTCCGGTGGTTCCGCCTTGAACCAAACCGGAAGCTCCACGTGTTGTTTTCTACTCGACAGTGAAGCTGTTATTTCTTCATGTTTCATATCGTAAAGAGGTTAAGTGAATGTATAGCATCTTCCGAAATAAGAAAACATTTGCAGATATATTTTTCTAAACATGCATTGTTCCTATGCTATGTTTTGTTGCCATGCTTGTTATTAAAACATTGAGAAACAGAAATATGCATCTCATGTGAGAACTGAAGGAAAACGGAGACTGCATTTCACACTGAAGGCATCATCATGGGACAGAGGTTTGAGCCATTAACATCTCCAAAAAGGTTTACAGGGCCTCCATGACGTTTCCATACAAAATTTCTATACTCTCCAGTTTTTAATGTTGTTATAAACATTTTCCAAATTGGGTTTTATATTTCTTTAAACTCCAAGTCAAACAATACAATGCTGAAGTTGGCTTCCTGTTCATCATTGTGGTAAAAGGTTATTTCAGGTTTTGGCATAGGGAAAATCAGCAAAGTTTTATTTAAAAAAAAAAAAAAATCTGGAATTTCAAATCGCAGTTTGATATCTGTAATATCTTAATTTGACAAAAAAAAAAAAAAAATCAGGAAAACTGGTAAATTGCAGCTAAATACCCAACTCAGAAACTGGGAATCTGGTTTAAAAGCAAGGAGCTAAAGGTCAGGAGGCAAACAACAAAACAAACAAACAAAAAAAACAGCAACAGTTGTTTGTTTGAATTTTGAATGAGTGTGTCTCTATCAGTGAGTTGGGAAGAAATCTCGAGTTGTGGCGAACCGTTAATAGTTATCCAACAGAAATAATAACAGAAAATATTTTGTTTTTATGAGTTTTTTTGAAACTTGACTTAATTTTATCTTGGAAACCCATTCTTTTTACTAGCATTTTATACTAAAAATAATCTTCCAGACTGTTCAACACTGTGTTGGAACAATAGGAGTGGTATTTACCTTTCCATTTATTATTATTATTATTATTATTATTATAGTAATTTGCAGTTGTGTTTTACATGCTATGATTTTAGGAGCCGTAGGAAGGTTACAGATAAAGCCTTGAATCATAAATTTGAGGTGCTTTTTTTTTTAGAAGATTTCTTACACATTCTCAGGTATATTAGTTATAAAGTGGGAGGCTTGTTTCTATAAATCTTTTTGACAAACACCCCGAGTAAAAAACAAACAAATCAAAAACAATTTCTGCAAACTAAATGAGAGGTGACATAATTTCCCCCGGAGTGAACACGCACTCCTTTCCCTCCTGTACACCTGAAGCACCGGCAGTGAAATTCATGTTAAAACATGTAAATCCAGGCACTATAAGGACACACGCCTGGAGCGACCTCGTTCTCCAGCGTTTCCACTGTTAAAGGCAGCTCTGTCCTATATCTCTCTGGGATTTGCATGCTAAACAAAGCTCATTCTGCAGCAATGTTATGCAATTCAACTGTTTATCCATAGGAAGAGAAGCGAAGCCAACATATTTGAGATAATTCAAGAGAACGAATCAGAGCTTTGAGGATGGAGATTAAGAAACTTCAGCTGAAACATCCATAACAAAACAGTCAAACTAAAGATTAATACAGATCTGAGCTGCAGCAGCACATCATGGCTTCCTCCTTCAGCTTTGTCGGTATTCTGGAGAGAAAAATAAATTGGCCAGGCCCCTGAAACACATTCGCCCTGCGCCCCTCGTTCATCAAAACATGGAAGAGGATTCAGAGAGTCCCGATGAACTTCAAACACCTTCTTCCTCCAGGTAGCAACCCGGCCGGCTGCACCTGATTCATCACTCAAACCTGAGCCATGCCACACAAATCAAGACACAATGTACAGGCTCTCACTTACTTCTCTTTATTTATGACTCCTGTCACTGTTTTTGTTGAAATATAACTAACATTTTGTGCTGCAAGTTCCTCAACAACCTCCTATTCAAATTGAAATGATTAAGAAATGAGATGTTCACTCCAAATACACAAAATCTTACACAATATTTTTGGTTTAGTTTCAGTCCATAATATCTTCGTACACTTGGAAAAAGACGAAGCTAACTAGTAACGGTTTGGCAAGATGTAGGAGCTTGTTTTAAGTCAATAAATCCTTAATATTAATAAAAATGTACTAGTTCAACTTGTAATGTGGATAAAATGTCATGTTAAGTGAAATCTGCCAGTTAAAATAGTACTTTTTTTTCTTTTACCAATATTTAGGGATTACTGACTTAAAACAAGTTGCTCTTTCTAAAAGTTACTTGTAATTTAGTTCTCAGTTCAAGTGAACTAAGACATTTATACTAGAAACTAGACTAAAAATACTTGGTGAGACCGTCTCTTTCTGCTGTGTTTTAGTGCTGAGACAAATCAGGACAGGGTTCACCCCCACCTAGTGGTGAGCCGCGGTACTGTATGTGCCGTGTTGAGGTAATTCAATCAGTCTGATGATGCTGTGAGGGCAGCGCTCTGTCAGAGCTGCATGAAGACCGGCGGGGCTGGGGACTGCAGCTCCTGGTCCAGCAGCCTGAAGTTCATGGCGCTTTTGTTGCTCCGCGCCGTCTGTCCCAGCGAGCGGTGAAGCTGTGCCTGGAGGTAGTGGACGTCCCGAAGGCGCTCCTTACAGTTCAGCCTGGAGAAATAAGACTCGGCCTCGTTGAGACCGTCAACAGCCAAAGCTGCCGAATGCTGACCTGCCAGGAGACGAGAAGCAGAAGCAAAGAGTCAGATGTGAGATCTTCCACGTCCATCAGATTCAGGGGGTTAAAGGTCACCTAGATGGCCCTGTCCTTTCAGCCTGAAGCCAGCAACAGCCATGTGACAGCGAGCTGCCAGCAGCATGGCGCGGCCTTTGTCGATGACGGCTCCGTGGGCGAGGATGGGCTCCATGGCTTCATGGAGAACGTTCAGAGCCTGCTCAGGGATGCCCAGCATCAGCTGAGGAGGAAGAAACAGAATCACCTGATAAAGGAGTCACAGACTATTTCAGTTGTACATTATTGTTAGTCCAATTGATGTTTTCTTTTACTTTTAGTACTTGGCAGTGGAGGGCACACTTCCGCTAACCTGCTAACAGCTGAGCTACTTTTTCGCTCAGCGCTTTAGACAACTGAAAAAGTTTAGCTCAGCTTCTCCTTTATTCATTTTTCTGAATAAATTCTAAACTTTAATTTACTTAAATGTTTTGTAAACTTTCAGTCGAATCTGTGCTGATGTTTTACTTATCGACTTTGATATCCATGCTCTTATTTTGAAATAGATGAAGAGCAGTTCTGCTTCCTCTCCTTTATCCCCAAACCCCATAACTTTATTTAAAACATGAGTATAGGAACAAAATAAATCGTAGAAAATAAGACGTAAACATAAACACAATATTAAAGGGCATTACAGAAAATGTAAATTATAATGTTAAAATGAAATTGGTGCTTGAGCGTTGTAGTCTTTCTAGGGCTGATATCATTTGAAGTGAAGTTAGCGCTTTAGACATAGCTTCCTCCAATTACCGTGATTTGCTAAAAATGTGCTTTAGCAAATCTTTTGTTTTTCTTCCAAGCTCTTTTTAACGGTTTAAAGCACAAAAAGGTGCTTAACTAGTCTAATGATTAGCGCCTTATGGTTAGTACAACTAACATTTTAGCTAGTGATTCCCACCTCTGGTTCTTGAATACCAAGATATTCTTTGAGCACTCATCTATGAATAATTTTTAGCTTTTCTGCTTGTGTAGATTGTATTTACTCTTACAGGTTTATTTTAGTAACTGCCCAATCAGCCATCAAGTCTGTAAACTAAATAAAGAATGACGGAAAAGTCTCCCTATTTATTTTATACATCAACTTGACAAACACTTTTCTGTTCTGTATTTTCTAAGAAGATGTATTCTACATGCGAATAAAGCCTGCAATCATGCCAGCGAGTTCTGGAAACATTTGAAAACATTTACTGTGGAGCTTAAAATCTTGCAAACCAATCTGCTTCGGACGTGAGCCAATGCATGGCAGCTTTCATCCAGCAGTAACACCTCCCACGCTGCATGGAAGCTGCCGATGGACGGACACAGCAACAGGCTTTCTAGTTGTGGCTGACCTGAGTGAAAGCCAGATGAAGGATGGCCTCCGAGGCCAGGGACTGGAGGTGGTGCTGCCTGGCCAGAGCCAAGGCCTGCAGGAGGAGAGGAAGAGCTGTGGAGAAGCTGGACGACTCCCAGTGGAGCTCTGCGGTGGACAGCATCACTCTGCGGGAGGCAGGCGACAGTTAAAATCCGACTTGCTGGAGTAAGTATGGTGCTTTTTCTTCTTCATGCTGCAGATTATCACAACGAGAAGGTGTGCAAGAACAACGCAAGAGCCGAACCTGATGATGATCTCCGTGCACTTGGTCTTCTCACAGTGAACCTGCAGCTGCTGCAGGATGCTGTAGGCCTCGGTGCTGCGGTTCAGGGCCTTCAGGACTTGGGCTTTCCTGCCAATAAACAAACTTTAAACACTGCACCAAAGATAACGGCCCCTCCAGGATGGTGTGGTGGTTTGTTGTGACAGTAACAGCCTACAATTACTATCTATGTTTCCATAACAAATGTGCACAAATCTTTACCTACATTCTGTTTATGTCGAAAAAATACAAGGTAGCAATGCTACCGTTAAATAAAAATAAGAAATTAAAATCCTGCTTGTATAAAGGTTGTTAATGTGGTAACTCATGGATCTAAACAGTTACATGAAATTACATTCATAATAATATTTCAGTAACGGCGCTCATTATCTATCATTTGATTTATTTTTAACTTTTTTTTTAAACATTAATTAATTTTTTTCCAATTTCTAACAACTTTTGTCCTTGCCTATGCTTTGACCATCACTGTGATCTTGCAAAAAAGTTACAATTGCAGCACATAACCTGTTCAAAAACAATAAGATTTTAACATAACCCGTATTTAAAGAGAAAATAAAATATTCAAGCACCTTCATGAAATGGCACCCTTAATGCATAATGTCCTGAGAAGTGCGAAACAAGAACGCCATTCCAGTTAGCATAAACTAAACATACAGAATAAGCAAATCTTACAGAGAATTTCAAAAATGATTCTAAGGGAAAAAAAACTCTCTTAAAAGATTCACATCCAAGAGACACTGTGAAACAGGTCGACAGGGATTGGTCAAAATTCAGCTGAGTTGCAGTGATTGGTCAGAAAATAAGGAAGTACAGAAAAAATGGCAATGACTTGTGAAAATGTCAAGTCAGCACAAAATTTGCGATTGGTGTGTGTATTTGCAGTAATAGCTTATTAACTCCAGAACTTCCTAGAAGGACTGAAGTAGCACTGCTGTAGGTGGTTTGGCATTACCTGTACAGTCCCTCCGTTTTGTTTAAAGCAGACATGGCCTTTACAAGCGGCTCTGCTAAATGGTACTTCCTGTTGTTCATGTGTCTCTCAAACTGGATTTTCAGATCGCAAAGCATCCAGAGCTGAAGGAGGAGGAATACTAGAGTTAAAGGATGGTAGATTGGACATTTAAACATATGATATGTAAATACCTGAGGTAAATGAAATGCATATCTGCCAGGGTGTGAGCTAATGTATTAGAGCAAGAAGAAAATACCTTTGAATGTTGTGTGTGAGGAGGAAACTGTTCCTTCAGATGCTGAAAAATCTCTGAAGTTGCACTGTACAACCCCTGCATCAAAAACAAGACAGATGGGAGACGCAGTCCAGTGTTTACAATCCAGCCACAAGCTGCAAAGTAAGCCTGTTTAACATTCACTACCTATGTTTACAGTGAGATGAAAACGCAGCTTCTCAGTGAGAGTCGGGACAGAGAGCAGCAGTGTTACCTGTTCGGCGTGCAGCTCGGCCAGGTGGCACAGAGCCACAGCGAACGCCTCCGTGTTGTTCTGATGGACCCCGAAGTTCACCGGTTCTAGGCTGCTCATGTTGAGAAGGAGCTGGGCCTGCTGCAGAGCCATGGTGCTGCAGAGCGTAACGGAAGCAGCATGTAGCGCTTATAAACAGCATGTTTTTGTTTTTACGTATTTGTTCAAACTGTCAACAGCTTGTGGCAGTAAAGCAGATAATCTGTGAAGATATTGATCTGCTCCACCTTCCGCCATCTACAGAAATGCACCGGTCAGAAACAACCAATCAGAGCCAGGAGGAGGGTCTTAGTGCTGTTAATCATATTTGTGAACACGCTGCTCAATGAGCTAATGGCAAAGAAACAACTTACCTTTCCTAAAAAACTGTTAATTCTTCCTCATTAGTGGCTACGCTAATTAGCTTGAACATTCACCACAGATTTCTTATTGTGAACCAGCTGTAGGAGTGTGAACAGCATGTGCATGAGAGTGATCGACAGCGCTAAGACCCTCCTCCCAGCTCTGATTGACTGTTTCTGATCAGGCGGTGTATTTCTGCAGATGGCAGTAGGACGGCAGGGAGAAACCAAAGGAGCTTGATTTCCACAAATGATCTGTTTGGTATTATACTATCACGACATCATGACAGATTTAATAAATATGAAAAAATATACATTTTCATAAAAGTTAATTCTGCAGCTTTAAAAGAATGTATAAGCTTGTTTGCTTTTGCATAGTGAACATTAGCTCATCATGGGTGGATGGACTGATTTTACAACAAACATCTGTATTGAGTTTTTAAAACAACTGGGTTTGAACTTTATTGGTTATGTAAATATTAGAGCCAGTATGTATCATTTGGATATGAAATAAGGGAAATGCAAGTAGAATCAAATCTGTGTGTTGAATTACTATTTCTTTAAATCGTTGAAGTTTTTGGTTTGATGATCATTCTCCACCAGAAAAAGAACCATTTCAATGAATCACTAAAAGACAGAAAGTGGTGGAGCTTCATGTCCGTGATGAGAGCATGAAAACCACAACTGTAAACACTGTTTTATTTTAGAGAACACTGAAGAGCGTGTGTGTGTGTAACTGAAAACCGCCCGTTAGCAGCGCCGCGTAGCTAAGATCCTCACCTCTTGCCATACATTCTCCATATGGACGTGGTCTGAGCCAGGCTGATCTCAATCAGCTCCGACAGGCTATGCTTCCAGTGCAGGATCTCCGTGTCCTTCAGAGCGTCCATCAGTTTGTGCGCAGCCTTACCCTGCATCGCCCCCTGCTGGACCAGCGACTGAATGTCCAGAGATCCCAGGTACTGCAACAGAGAACAAGTCAGACATGTTGGTGGCAGATGTCGACCTCGGCTGGGGGAAGTGATGTGGATATAAACAACTGGAACTGATTGTTACTCAAAATAAATACTTAATACAAACAAAGGAAGAACTGAGCCCACTGGATGTTTACAGAACGGTCATGGATTACAGAGCCGCTACTCTGCACTTGAAAGGTTTTCAATGGCTTTGGTTCAGTTACATAAGGGACTCTCAGATGGGAAACTTAAAAGGAAATTATTTATCGTTTTAGGCTGTGTAAAAAGCTTCAGATCCGACCAAAACACAACACAAATGTGGAGAAACATTATTTATTTGTTGGTACTTTCATGCTAAAAGAAACTCTTGATAAATCCTGAATTCATTCAGGATCAATTTGATTTACTTTTTATTCTACTGAGGTCAGAAAAAACTCAAATCGCTTTGTGTTCCGTTGTTGACTTGACTTTCATTTTGAGTAAATTTCCTGGATTTTCAGCCTGAAATTCCCACAAAAAGGTATAGAAATAAAAATGTTTACCATTAAAATGAATAACTAAACTGTTTTATTTTGCATTGGACCAGATTTTAGAAGGGACTTACAGCGACAGTAGCCCAGGTTGCCAAGGATTTTTTTGGTGGGAGTGCGGAGGTCACCACCATTGATGTACAGACTACACACAGCGTGTCGGACACTAAAACTGGCTCTGGCCCACATCCTTCTAAATCCAGTTCTGCTGTTTAAAGTCAAATAAATCAACTCAACTTTGTCAATATTGTACAAGTTCAAAATCTATTTTGTCGAAAATAATTAAAAACAAGTAAGTTTTTTAGTTTTTTTCAGGCTTTATTTTTTTTACTTTCCTAGATCTAGACCAAGTCTAGTCTCTCAAGGTCAGAGCCTTATCGCCTTTCTGATAGAAATAAATTAGCCGCTGGAGCTTCTCCAGACATTCATTATACATATAATCAATCTACTGAATTCAGATAGCCTCATTAATCCAGAAACAGTGGAAGCACCACTGATGGAAGGAGCAGGCGGCAGAGCTCAATCATAGCAAATAAAACATCTCCATGCCTTTCTTAAGGTGTTTTTAAGGTACACAGAGATATAAGAGGGTGAATGAATTTGAGCAATTTTTAGTTCAAACAGATCTGACTGAGAGAAACACCAAAATGGACTTTTTTCTGTCCATACATAAGGGTTTCACTGAAACTGAAGATTTTCTGCTGGAGGTGAAAATTGCAGGTAAAAAGAAACGATAAAGGCTATTCAAAGAAGGACCAAAAGTAAAAAGAAATAAATAAAAATAAACAGGAAGAGTCAGAAAACGTTCAGTTTTTGTACACTTTTCCCATCGTAAAATTCAAGCACTTTTCAAGGTAAGTTTTCAAACTTTTAAAGCACCAAACTTTGGAGATAAAACAACACAAATTAACTAAAAAAAGATTCACTATTATTTAATATAATTTATCACTGTTGTTATGCATTGTGATAATAATCTGCATTCTACAGCAGGGACAAGGTAAACTAAAATATAACAAAACTTCATGACTCATGAAATAATTCTGGTGATTCCAGCTGATATAAACAAGAAAAGTTCAGTCTGATTTCATTTCAAACAGCGAGAACAAACAAACAAACATGCATGTCGTTTTACTAAGGTAACATGGTACAGACATTTCCTCAGCGGACTTCACAATCATAAAAATTAATCTGCAGCACGTACAACAGCCGACACCAAACTAGTGAGCAGATTCTCCACTGAAAGGTCACGTTGCACTCACCGGCAGGCAGAAATGAGCGGCCATTTTCACAGAGTCCTGAGTCAACACCGTGCTTTCCGATCCCTTCATGTGTTCCAGTGTGTAGAGCCAGCTCTGGGAGAGAAATCTCTATGAGGATCAAACCATTCATGGCAACGTTACTGTGGAGTCAGAGCACAAGGCTGATTGTTTTACCAGACAATGCTGCAAGCACACGTGGTCGTTGGACTCCTGGGCAATGCGGATGGCCTCCTGCAGAGCCAGGTCGGCCTGCTGACTGAAAGAACCAAAAAACATTTCTTCATTCTGTCTGAACAAACTCAAACTGCGGCCCTCCAGCTCTGCACTCACTAGTGGCCGAAGCGGCAGTGCAGGCTGGCCAGGTTCAGCGCGGCGTAGCGGAGGCTTCGGCCGTAGCCCTCGTCTCCGTTGCTCTTTCCCTCGTTGCCGGACAGGATGAGGCGGTCGAAGTAGTGCAGGAGGCTGTGAGCAGAGAGGAAGATGTCCTGGACTCTCATGCTGTTCAGGTAGTTCAGGTAATGCTGTTGACGGGAAGAGGAGCAGAGAGCTGCTGTAGGATACACACCGTCACTCAGGTAGCATAAAACCGCTACGCTGTGGCGACTCGCAGGATAAATGACAACTTTTCAAAGCATGCAAGTATAATTATTTCACAAAACTGTCCAACACAATCCAATTTAAAACAATAATGTGGTAACAACTCTGTGCACAGTAAATCTGGAGCAAACTGCAAAACAGAAACACTGAGTTCCTTTAACTCTGGACTAAAACCTCTCCAGTTTAGAGCAGCTTTGGACCCATAATCACTGACACACTGAACATTTGTTTTTAAGACGTAGAGCACTTTAAACTGCCCCGCTGCTGAAATGTGCAACACAAATAAACTTGGTTGATTGACAGATAAATATACTTTACTTTATATTTACTTTCTGATAAATATAATTAGGCATATTTGTTATGAGTTATAGTAATAATCCTATCTGCAACATTTCTTGTTTTTATTTTTGATTTATATACACTATAAGGAGAACGAGAGATTTATGACGATGCATCTATTACACGCATTCACAATAATGAATCACAAATTAAATTTAATTCAAAAACACTTTATCTCAAAGGGAAATTAAATGTCACTGTAGCTCCTATCGTCTAAATATCTTGAAAGAGTCACGATGGATGAAATTTAATGTTAACTAAAACACAGGATGAAGAGGTATGTCTTCATCCTCCAGACTGCAGAATAAACAGCGGCTACATTTAGCTGCAGTTTTTAAGGGAATGTCCTCTCAGTGCAGAACAGCTTGGCCTGCGCTGGGAGAAGAGCAAGGTCATCAGAGCTGGTTAATTAGTTGGACTATTTCCTCATGTAGTGAGTCTACAGCTGGCAGCGCCGCTTGCTGCTTGCCAAGTTTCTCTTTTAAAACGGCGTGACACAGCGACCTGCCATGAGGTTTTAAAGCTGCGTTTCTTCTAAGCGAGGGAGAAGTGTATTTGTTCAGTCAGCTGACTGGCAGTGCGCAGCATAAGGTCAGGGATGGGCAGAGCTGCATTATTCTAAGTTCACACTTTCTACTGTATCTAATTAAAACGGCTTTAATCCGCATGTTAATATTTTTACAAAACCTTTAGACACCATGGAAACGGTGACCTGCGTGATTTGGGATGCAGTTAAAAGTTCTGCCGGGCCTCACCGCTTCTGCAAAGTCCGGGTTAAACTTCAGCATGTTGTTGAGCTCCTCCTGCAGCGCCGCCGGCCTGAGGGCTTTGTTCTCGTCGTTCTTCAGAAGGTAAGCCTGCGGAGGGACGTTTCCAGAGTCAGAGGGGGCCGCTTCGACGCCCCAAAAACACATTCGGGTCCGACGGATCCCTCCGAGCAAAGTTACGAACAATACTTCATTTAGACTTCATCCACACTCACCTGTCTAGCAAGAAAGTATTCGGCCTGTTTTTGAGAGAGGGGGCCCCGGCTCGGCGTGTTGTCACATCTGAAACAGGGACACAATCTGATGTCAACTTTTAAAAACGTCAAAGTAGGGCTGAAATGATTAATAATGGATTACTGAATTAATGGTCAACTAATTTAGTAATCGATTACCTGAAGTATACAGACTCAAAGAAAGGCCATCTGTGGAAACATTTTATGTAGTAATTGAGCCAAAACTCTACAAAATATATTACATTTAAGATAAAAACGCCCCTGCCTGTAAATATGTCTTATCCAAAATTCCTCAAGTATTAGAGTTTTAGCTTCGCTAAAGGAATGCTGTTATTGCATTTTAGGCTATAAAATGTTAATTTTCTTATTTAAAAAAAGGTTATTATTTGTTTATTTCGATCTTTTAATGCATTTCTAATATTGCAAAACGAAAAATCTAATCTTTTTTTTTTTTATATCTGAATAACCATCAGAATAATCAATTCCTAAAATAATCAAATGATGCCAAACTGCATGTAGTTCAAGAATTTATTTTTGGCTTGACGGCGATCGCTAGTGGTTAAAGTCAGACTTTAAAAACGAAACGCACGTCCGGCTGAAAAGAACAGCATCACTAACCGAAGTTCGGACTCGTGCAGTGGAGTGTCCAGCTCTTCTTTGTCTGCTCTGTCCCCCACGGTGTCCTCGGTGCTGGTGAGGTCCATGTCCGAGTCATCTGCAGCCAGCGTGGGCACACACACCTGCCCGTCCGTAGGCTTGGCGTAGTGGCTGTGGTAGTAGTGCTGCAGGGACTTGTACAGCTTGTACACCTGACTGAAAGACAGCTTGTTGTATGCCAGCAGCATGTGCCTCATGAAAAGACCTGGGGAGCAGACAGAATACTGGGAAACGGAGGACTTCCAGAGAAAAACAAAGCACCTGCCACATGAGGTTTGACGTACCTACAACGCTGGTTTTGTAAGCCTCAGAATCGAAAGCGGTGAACGGAGTGGGCAGAGTGGAGAAGAAGTACTCCATGTCTTTCAGCTCTCCATCTGCCATCTCATGCAGCCTTTAAGGATTAGAAGAGACAAGCTCAGCGACTTCCTGCAAACCCCTTTTCCACGCCACAGAGGATCAACACAAACTATGTCTGCAGGTTTATAATTAACAATTGTGAACCCACTGTTGCCAAGTCAACAACTTGTTTGCTGAATTGAGTGACATTTCAGACAAAAAGAAAAATTGGTATCAGGCAAAATCGGAATTGGCAGGTTAAGCTTTTTAAAAGATCGGTAAGCGGCCAGAAAACTGCGATCGGTGCACCCCTAGTTTTTATGGCATGTTAAATAGTGGCCAGTACATAAGTGGCAGACCTGAGTTTGACTGCATAGGCGGTCTGAGGACAACACTCCTCCACAGTCTTCAAGAACTGACCAAGAGTCAGGTCTGGACCCTGGAAACGACATAAAAAACACAGTGAGCAACACATACGACACTACGGTAAATACAAGGAAGATTGCATAGACTAAGCATGAAAAACTGAACCTGTTGGAGGGGCAGGATGAGCTTGTTCAGCCGCCTTCTCTCAGGCAGGGTGATCTTTGAAGAGGTCATCTCATACAGCAGCGCCAGCACGGAGATTTTATATGGACTCACCCAGTCTTTAATGCCGAACACATTAGCGTGGACCACCCCGTTAGTCATCATGGGGTTAAAATACAAACTTTCATGCACACTCGCCATCCTTAAACGGACTAAGCACTAAGCTAAAGACAGCTCGGTGTCCAACATGCAGCAGAGAGAGTAAGCTAACTATCTCACCAAGTCCCGTTAGCGTTAGGAAAGTCGTCTAAAAAGAGCAAGAATAACTCTGCATTCATCTTGGAAACCTCTGACATAAAGGTTTTAGCTCAAAATGCGGGTATAGTTCAACCTCATAACAAAATATGTGCTATCTTCCGAAAATTGACACAAGTTGGCTGTTTTGCTTTCAAACCGCCCTCCTTCTGTCGCCTCAAAGAGACGTCATCAAAACGACAGGAGTAGATTAGCGCGTCCGCCATATTGTAAGTGGCAAAGCCACTTTGGAAAGTCCGTAGTCCGATTTAGCTTTACAAATGATAGCTAGACCAGGCTTAGTTCTGCTAATTTGTTTTTCTAAAAAGTATTAAGTGTAATACTACTATACTAGTAGTAGTGATTATCATCATAATCTTACAATACTTACAATTATCATATTCTGCCTATCTACTTACCTGACAACTCACACTTCATACAGAGACAGAACATTGTCAGCTATAAATCTAACTAAACCTTTCCTATTTTAGGTTAGGATTCATTTGGTAAACTTCAAAACAGAACTAAAAACACAAAAGTAACTAAACATTTTAAAATTAGCTGCTATTACTCTACCATTTAACAATTAGAAACAAATTGAGTACTCCCGAATGATATAAAACAGAATAAAAATGTTACGCTTGGCGTAGCCTTTGCCTTTGTTTCCTCAAACTTGCCACTCACAGTATGGCGCCATCTGAACGCTAATTCGCCTCTTTTATGTATATGAATATCTTAAGCAGACAGACATCAATAAGATATAATAACTATTAGACTCATGAATACTCTGTTCTGTTTACAGCTCATAAAATTGTACCTTCATCATGATGTTATACTTTTCCCAAGATTACTTTATCTGAGCCACTCGGTTGTCATTAGGAGTATACACTGTCCTCCAGTGGTTAAAATAAGCATGCACCAATTTGAGATAATTACAAATTGTAACCACTGGAGGGCAGTGCGGAGTCGACATAGGATTTCCCGTCAGATCACCTGAAACACACTCAAACAGCGGGCTTTGAATTTTCATCTTCAGAGCTGTACATTCAGCAGACAATACTGAATCTTCTTTTAATTTCAAGCATAACAAATACTGATCCTATTACCAAGGGTGACATATGACTGATCTAAGCGGAAATTTATGTGCTGTGATATGTTTCTTTGAACAAAAGTGAATCTAGGTCAAAGGAGACATCTGAAGGTATATAAAATTTTAATTGCATTCTTCATCTTTATGGTAGATCTGCCACTTTGAAGAAAAAAAAGTTCTCTGCACATATTCATGGGATGCATATCACAGAACATAACTTATTTAGAAAGACATACATTTGAAATGACTTACAGAAACTGAACAGGGTTGCACTAAACTTGATCTGATCAGGCTTCAAGATTTGTACTTAAAAAGAAAAAAAAGTCTAAATACTCATGCAGTTGTGTATGACAGACTCTCTGTCTAGCTTGGGCAGATATAAGTGATTCAAAAGAGCCCTGTTTATACCAGAGTGTTGATGTTTTCTCATTTGACAGATGGCTTCGGCAGTCCTGGGAACACTGGAGCGGGCTATTGGCTCAATAGCCATGCAGCAGGCTTCTGTGCCTGTTGCTTCACACATGCTCCAACAATATGTTGGTCCTCGAGTACCGCTGGACTTGTTGGTAATTAAAAAGGACTCCGACTTCCATCAAGGTAAACGAGCATTTTTAATGTTTTTTTTGTTTTTTTTTTAAGAGAATAAATGTGTATTTTATTGGCTGAGAACCGTGTAATTAAACAGATGCATGTTTGGCCTCCATTGCACATATGTTCCCATCAGCTGCATCCTGTGTTCTGCTTTTAGTTATTCTTTATGTTTCATATTGCATCCATTCTCATTTGCATACCGATTTGTTATTCGCTTTCATTATATGTTTCACCGTTAGACTCTCTCTTCCTTTTCCAAAGTCTTACATAAATCCACCTCATGCAGAAAAAAAAAATATGATAAATTGACATTTGAGTTAGTTAGGGGAAAAAAAAAAACGGAAAAAAGTGACATGACTTTACCCAGAAGATGGCACTATTTGATTTTCATACATTGCAGGCAGGTTCCTGTTGCCCCTCGTGAGGAGGCAGCACCAGGACTCCTCTCATCTCTCTCTGTCACGTTCTTGTTGGTGTGAAGTCAGCGGACAGACAGACAGACAATAATTCCCATCTTAGCTGATATTTTTCAGAAAAGCTTCAATAAATTTACCATGAATGCCTCTGTCAAGACATGAGTCATCGTGAGCTAACATTACCAGCTGAATGACTTTGGAGTTTTTCGGGGGGATGTTTGATGTTCGGGGAAAGCACAAACCCAACAGCGATTTTTCACATCGACTTTTGCATAAATCTGCCAATCTGTTTCTCTTCCCAAAAAAAAAAAAAAAAAAAAGAAAACGTCTCTGTGCAATCCGTTTATAATTGCCTTTAATACATGCAAAGCTATACAGGGGTTGTCTCTTCATGACAAAAACAGATGTCCCCGTTTCAAGCCTTTACACAGCAACAGCAAGTTTTTGACGGTGATGCTTATTCAGATCTAATGGTGATGAAGATGAATACAGCCAATGGCTCTGAAATGTGAAGGTCACAAGGGAGTGCTCTGGTGTGCAGTCCCACTGATGGCCTCCAAAATGGCTCCAACATTCACTCAAAAACCCACATTTCTCAGGAAACAGTCTATAGCTTTGCAGCATATCACTCTGTTGGACATTTAAATATGTGTACACACACAGTTTTGTTGTTCTACCAATAAAATGTCAAGCTGGAAGAAGAATTTGTTTTTGCTGCCTTTACTGTGTGTGCATGCAGTTTTTGTTTGCATTCTCTGAAGCACATAAACGGTGTAAAGTTTAATGGTTTTCCCATAATTGACACATATTCCGCATTTAATCCTTATTAGTCTTATATATCCATCAGTCCCAGCTGAAAACAAAATTGGTCAATCAAGAATTTCTTTATTGCACTCGGGGTTGATTATTTTATTTAGGGATTCTTTTCTATGTTTTGTTCGTGAAATTATACATTTACTATACAGTATATTGTTGCATATTGTGTCTGAAAAACTCTGTGTTTTTTTGATTAGGCATGCACTGATTGCCAGTTTTCTGGCCGACTGGTGACTCCAGATCTATAAAAAGCCTGACCAGCTGAGTCCAATTTTAACTGATACAATTTTTTATTTTTTTGTCTGAAATGTTGCCAAGCAAGAAAATTGCTGAGTGTACAACAGTGTGTTGACTGTTGTACACTTTAATTGTGCAGACATGACCTGTTGGGGTGGAGTATCAGTTTGGACCTTTGCCAAAGAAAATAAGATCGGCTTCACATGTAAGTATCGACCGATCTCCCAAAATCCCCCAAGCATCGACATTTTGTTGCCAAATTCCCTGTCATGTGTTGGCACAATGACAGTAAAGTCTATCAGTGTACGTCTAACTTGAAATAATTAAACTTTGCAATTTGCCACCTTGAAATTGGGTGTCTGTCTCTTTAAGAAGCTCCTACTCTTTCTGACACTCCATCTCCAGCACATCGTCATGACGACAATGTTTCTCCATTATGCCGTCACTGAGAAGAAGCTTGTGTGATGAGCTCAGACCTGCGGTTCCACCAGCTGTTTACTCGTTGCTGGGAGGGAATACCATTAAAAAAACATAAAATAAAGCTAAAACAAAAACTACATTTTATATGACACACCTTTAACAGATTCTAACAGAGATCTTCTTCAGTCTTTTTGTTGAATCAGACTGTACGGGGGGAGTTTTTCCCGAATGTTGTCTGTTTCTGACTCTTTAAAGTCTGTGCAATATGGATTGCCAAAGATAAACTTATTGCACCCGAGAAATGACAGACCTCTGTGTACGCTGACCCTGAGTCAGCCTCCTGCTGCTTACTTAGTGACTCTAAATGGATTAAGTTGTCAGCTGGACGGCTCATCCGAGATTTTTAATATCCAGGCTGAGGTATATCAAGCAACCGTCTGCCAAGTGGTATCAGAGGGATTTACTTTGGCTTTATTGCTACTTTCTCCCTCCACCTTCCTTATCGGCAGTAAGGTATGGTCGTGCCCTCTGCGATTCCTTCAGGATGTTTCCACTCCACGTCAATAAGTCTGAGAGAGGAGAGAATAAAATCCTGAAAGTCTAGAGGGAAGACGATGTGTTTTAATTTCAGCTCATAAGTGCAGAAAGTAAAAAAAAAAAAAAAGAAGAAAAAAAACCCCACTTCTGGATTTATTAGGTTCTAATCCAGTTAATCCGGTTTTCCGTGAGGTGGACCACCATCACCTCCACTGAAGATCCCAACCCAGAACAAATTGTGCAGTCTTACAGAAAGTGATCCAGATACCAAAACATTGATGTTTTTTTTTTCTTACCTGTTCTCCTCTTCTCTGGCGGGTTTCTCGAGGTTTGCCTCGGCACGGCTGTGTATTCAACAAACAGACAAACAAACCGTTGGATCTCTGATCTCCCAGCTTGCTCCCGTCTCGGCCGAGCCAAGAAGGCAAACACAAACACAGAAGAATCAAGACGGTTTAATGGATTTCCGAAGAGCAACAAAACCGATCAGAATATTGCTAACCTTATGTGAGAGAACATATTACACCATAAATGACTCAAACATCTCTATGTAACCATTCATTTCAACCCCAGATTTCCAGATTTCGGGGCTATTCTTCTCTCATTTTGTTCAAGAATCAAAGGGAAGAATTGAAATGTGGGAGAAGTGTGTGTGTGTGTGTGTGTGTGTGCGTGTGTTCTCCACAGAGAGAAACATGTCTGTATGTGCTCGTGCATTATTGCTCTCGAGCCAAATGTGTTTGGTTTGTTCAGCCTGTTTTATTTGTGCCTGTTTCTGTATCTGTGTGTGTCTGTATGTGTGTGTGTGTGTCTGTGTGGGTGTGTGTCTGAGCTGCCGCGTACTGCTGAAATATCTTCTTTTTCCTTTGGAAGCATAAAAATATAATTAGGCTTTTAATAGCCAGTTATTGGTTTCTTTTTTACACAGTTTTTCTTTTCTTTTTTTTCTTTTTTTTTGTAAATGAACAGAAACAGACCACACACTCCCAAAACACTTTATCACCAGAGACAGGGGAGAAGGATTCCTGATGGTGAGTAGAAACGCATGAATTAATTTGAGGTTTAATGTTGAGAGAAATCTGTG